AGGAAAAAGGAAAAAGGAAAAAGGAAAAAGGAAAAAGGAAAAAGGAAAAAAAAGAAGCAACCTCTCCATTCATTCCAGCACGTAAAGACAATTTTAATGGCTTATCACCATCTCTAAATACAACATAATCTCTCTTCTCCCCACAGCTCATCTAGTAAAACAAAAACAAAACAAAATAACAAAATCCAAATGCTTCTTTAATCATTCTTTGTCAGCAGAATTCCAGTAAGGACAAACAGATCTGTTTTCCTCCTCTAGCCCTGGTCAAATAAGTCAACCTTGTATTCCTTTCCTGAGTTTTTAAACATATTATTTAACCCTTTCAAAAAGAGTCCCAGAGCTGGTTTGCTGTTCATCTGTGTTTCAAGGCAAAAATCTTTCACAACTGTAATAGATGTATTTCATATATTCAATAAGTAAGGTTTATTCTTTTGCTTGTCACTTCTAATAAAGTCCTTCAAAACCTTAACAGAGCTCTTTTGTATATCTAGTAATATACATCAGTTCTATTTGTGTTACATTTAAATTCCCCTTCAAAGTAATGTCATAGTCATCCATTGCAACTTGTTCTTGTCCTGTAACTTCATTACAATATGCTCCATCCATTTTGTTAAGAAGTTTATCCATTTTATCAATAAACCTGGTAGAAAAATATTCAAAAGCTTGTACTACAGATTTCTGCTTCATTTTCTTTATCTTCTGGTTCCGTCTAGTGTCCAACCTTCAAGGTCTCCTTATCTTAAAAGAGCCAAAGCAATCACCATTTTCCCATGAGAAAATTTCTTCTAATTAACTGAAAGCTATAATTCCAAATCCCTCTGGCCCCTTAATCCATTGTTAACTTTCCAAAATCCATATACTAAGCATCCTTTTGCTGCATTGTCCAAAAAAAAATCATATATTTTCAAATGTTTTAAAGCTGACACCATCATCCTTTAAGGAGGAGGAAATTCACCTGATGAATACAGTAAAACCTTGCTGGTCCAAAGAGTCTTAAACTGTCCAGTATAATAATAATAATAATAATAATAATAATAATAATAATAATAATAATAATAATAATAAT